TGATGTACTATTTCGAATACGTATCTAAATGGGTATGATGGATCTGGCCGTCGTTAGCGATGATGTGCCATTTCAAACACTTAATTATATAGTGAATGGGTATGATGGACCTGACCGTCAATAGCGATAATGTGCTATTTGCTATTTCGAACACTTATCAATAGTGAATGCGAATGATGGACCTGACTGTCAATAGCGACGAGGTGCTATTTCGAACACTTATCAATAGTGAATGGATATGATGGACCTGATTGATTGTCATCAGCGATGAGGTGCTATTTTGAACACTTATCAATAGTGACGGAAATGATGGACCTGACCGTCGTTAGCGATGATGTGCTATTTCGAATACTTAATTATATAGTGAATTGGTATGATGGAACTGACCGTCAATAGCGATGAGGTGCTATTTCGAACACTTATCAATAGTGAATGGGAATGATGGAAATGACCGTCAATAGCGATGATGTGTTATTTCGAACACTTACCAATAGTGAATGGGACTGATGGACCTGACCGTCAATAGCGATAATGTGTTATTTCGAATACTTATCAGTAGTGAATGGGTATGATGGACCTGACCGTCAATAGCGATGGGGTGCTATTCGAACACTTATCAATAGTGAATGGGAATGATAGACCTGACCGTCGTTAGCGATGTGGTGCTATTTCGAACACTTATCAATAGTGAATGAGAATGATGGACCTGGCCGTCGTTAGCGATGATGTGTTATTTCAAGCACTTTCTGTGATCAGTAATCAAAGATAAAAAGTCAGAGTAAATACTGTACTTTATAGATAGTAAATGATTAGTATTTTGGTAAAAGTCATCATTTAGTCAAATATTGATATCATTTATTGAGCGAGTAAGTATCTTTCTTACTATTCATTGTTTTCTATGTGAAGATGTATAGCGGGTATTGGTTGATCATGATCGATGATGGCGGCTATTTTAAATCAATGATAAAAGGACATACCAGTTGATAACGTCTAGTATATTTGTTAAGTTTTTTTCAATCATCCTCACCAGCCAGACATTTTGAGGATCGCTTACAAAAGGAGGCATTCAACGGCGATAAGTGCTCCAAGATTTCCTGTTTCCTCCCATTGCTAAAGACCCTTACGCGGAAACGAATATTACTGAAATAAAATTGTACAATACGCATCGTGTATGTTTGGGGGTACATTAAACGCCCCCACCCCCACCGATCCCCCCGGGGCAAGCCAGTTATTGAAATAATATTGTACTGCATATTAGTCAGGAAATGGACTATTTTCAAGGCACAATAATGGCATTATGCATGTTATCAAATGGCATTGGCGCCACGGTGGCCGCGTGAGTAAGGCTCTAGCACACTAAACGGGAGGTCCGGGGTTCGATCCGCAGTTGACCGGATAAGATCCACGGAAGATTCCAGCGTGGTTTCTTTTTGTCAGGGCCTGGTCACGTGTACACGTAGGCGTGTATGTAAAGGAACCCCTGTCATTTGGAATTCGAAATAAGTAGGGCCCTACCGCCGCTGTCCGGCAAAATTTTGCCCGTCTATGCCGTTTTGGTCGGTTTATCATCAGTGTCCTGTAAACATATACTCCCTAGCCCCTCTTCCTTGCAAAATCTCACACCAACCCTCACAATTCAGCCATAAAAAAGACTATGGAGAGAGACAAACACTCGGGTCTAAACAAGGTACTAAGTATTATGTTGGGTTTTTCTTCTTCTCAAATAAGTTACAAGAGAGAATTCCAACAGTTGTACTTCCTTATTGCGAATTTGCGACATAATAAATACCGATGCCCTTGATGTTATCGCCTTTGGGATCGTAAATACGACGTATGCCACGTACTGTAGTTCTCAATGGATTTTTCAAAGTTTTAATTAATGGTATTTACGCTGCGGGTATGGGAATCCCTATTTAAATTCAAGCGTTTACAGCTGCAAAACAAGATACCAATCATAGATTTATTTCAGTTTAACTGTTTTAGTATAAAAGTACTGTCAACAAAATCTGTACTCAAAATAATCTTGGTGGAACTGCTCATTGCGCTATTGCAATTTAGAACTCAGCCAATCCAAGCACTTTGCTTTTTATGAAATAGTTGGTCATTTATTAGAACGAAACGCGAAGACACTTTTAATGATTCAATCGCGTCCCCATAGAAACACAAAATATATGCTCCTTTTTTGTCTATTAGTTAATCCACGGCTGTCGTCTTCATCCATGTCATCTTCTCTGATTGATGATGTGCATTTACGAATGGAATTACTGCTGATGTATTTTCTGTTCCTTTTTTATTGTCGTAAATGAGAAGTGTATAGTAATAGGATAGATGATAATATAGCCTAATTATACTTAATAATGATTACATAAATGTCTATGCACTTTTAAGCCACATTCCTCGGCACATGTAAACTTACTTGCTATGGTTCTCTAGTCCATCTTCATTAGCTCAGTCGGGACAGAGCAGTAAAATCCTCTCCTCTGGAATTCTAATACTAAGCTAAAGATTTACGTCCGCTTCCGCCCAGGGCAATATTGTAGACAAATATTTCCTGGGCCAGGGTGAGGAAGAAAAAAAGGGATCGCAGCCTATATTATAACAGTTATAAAAAAGGTTGTCTTTTCATAATAATAACTAATGCAATCTGTTTGGAATACATACGGCCTATGCCTATACCAACGTCACCCTTGCTTGCTTTATTTGAGCTGCACGTTTATTTTATATCTGAATGTGTATTTCTTAATTACAGCCGCTGACTTTATCGAAATCTGCATGGCTTTTATGACGCTAAAATATACTCAAATAGATTATTTAACTTTAATTTAAAAAGAAGAAAAACAAATAAACAGTAAATAATCAGCCGGATTGGATTCAGTCTAAAACAGGTGGCGCTGGCTTGTATTGACCATATTTCATGTAGGCCTATGTCGTGTGCAGAGAATGCTTATTTCCGAAAGAACGAGAGAGAGAGAGAGAGAAATGGGGTTTAACGTCCACTCGACACAAACTAGGTCATATCGGGACTAACACATGGTTTAATTTTATTTACATAATTCGTTTGCGCGTAGGGGTCTTTAGCAGTGGGAGGAAACCGGAGGACCCGGAGAAAACCCACGAGGTTGGACAGGCGACCCTAATCCTTGCCACGTACAACCGGGGATTCGAAACCACGCCAGTCGACTCAATGACAGACTTTATGATACAGCGCGCACGCTAACCATTCAGCCACCCCCCCCCCCATCTTTATTGAAGATATGTAATTAATGAATGTCTTGTGATATAAAGAATATTGTTAACCTATTGTCGTTATACATATATTTAACATGTGTGTATTTGTCACTGGAAGATGTGTCTATATATCATTTTAGGTGTAGTAGGATTTATTTCCCTTACCTCAGAATCCTCCACGTCTGCTTCTGGCGTCTGCTGTCCTTTTCCCGGCTCAGAGGTCGTTAGTGAATTATGAATAATGTAGTCCAAGTCGTATATAGTTTACACCTCATTTGTCTCTGTCTATTTAAAGATTTTGTCACATGTTTTGCAATAGATGCTTACAGTGCAGGTCTTCTATCAATGTCTTGACGGGCGTAATCAAGGAAAAAGATTCCGAGTTGTCGGAGAATAACATTGTACGGGAATGGTTATTAGTTTATTTTTCTGATATTTCGTCCTCTTTAAAAGTAGCGAAATTAAAGTATTAATTTAAGAATATGTTTCCCGCAAAACTGACGTATATAATCAAAGTTTATTAATATACCTTAGTAGTAATCAGCGTTAGAAATAGTGTATAAAAGTTTGCTACATCGAACACAATGACTTCAACTTTAGACTACTTTTATCTACTGGCATTCTTCACGTGTCATGTGGCTTTCATATTCAACTGTTTTATGTGGGTATTTGCTCTTAATTCTTTCAAGCGACACAAAATTCAGAAAATATTAAATAATTTTCCTATTATTCTTTGGAATAAAATTGGAAAATGAAAATTAAACGCTGTTCATAAAATATTAAATAATGTTCTTATTTTTCTTTTGAATAAAATTAGAAAATGAAAATTAAACGCTGTTCACTGAAATCGAACTAACTTATATCCATTTAAGAATTAATGTTTTGCTCCCCAAATGAAATGAAACTAACGGTAATTATTTAAGAGTTAATTTTACCCATGCTTCTGGATGCCGCTATTTTTTTTTCACTGAATTTCAAAACCAATGTAGGAACATCAAGGAAAGGACCGTGTATTTTAAAAAAAATATAGTTGCCCGAAGACAATTGTCTGTAGGAGAAGCAGTGAACAACTATGTCTACAATGTTAACCGTGTAAGTCGGGAAGAGGGGAATCGCTGAACATCGATCTAACAGTAATGTCTAGAGGATTCCGTGCTTAATTGTTTGAACGAGAGATTTGAGGCTGTGAGTCTCCGAGGTGATATTGGCTCAATATGGACATAAAGTTATTATCGGACTATACGTCTTGTTCCAATCCCAGACTTTCGCTGTATCTTTATTGACATTTGGTCTTCAGGAGTTACCAGCTCCCTTTGTTACACGTAACATTACAGCTTTAAACTTGTAGAACTTTTAGAAAAGTGTGCTTCGGGTCAATATTGATTCAAAGCATATCAACCAGGTATACACACATAGTACAATTTCATTTTTTTTACCCTTCAAGGGAAAGTCAGCATGTAACGCATTTAAACTAAGAATGGATTTTAAGCATTCAATATTATTTAGTGGTCCAGTGTCGAGTTGGTCAAACAGAAGTGACAAAGCCCAGGACAGGAAAAAGGATTAGAAAATTGATTGCATTCCTTTCAAGACACTAACCTAATATATTTACTCATTTTGCAGAAACCTGGTGGAAACACATCATTAATAAAACAAACATTCAGTAAAAGTTTGTCTTCATTTAACTTACAATGAGGCATCATTTCTTTGATAAAATATTTTGTTCAGATATCAACAAAGTACATAAAACATACAAAATACTAACTTTAACAAAGTCTTAAAACACAAAATTAAATTTTGCTTTATTTCCAAACAAAAAACAAAAATCACAAAATCAATAGTAACATATACACATTAATTAACTCCTTCGTTAACATCATCGTAAAACATAATAAATATGATATTTAAAACTTCATAATAAATTAATATGACTCGTTTTGTAAGTTTAAGCATAGGAAACTCTTTGTTTCGCGGAGATGGGATTTTGACTTAAATTTTAAACCCTTTTTGAATTAAAATCAACACATATTTTAGACCGATTAGACAAGTTATGTCTACAGGAAAATGCAACGTATATGTGATTTGCTATCATGTAAGAATTTAAAATTTAAGTAAGGAATTAAAAAATTTACAGAGTTGAATAAAAGTAGACTTTTCCTGTCAATATAATAAAAAAATAATCTCTTTTTGATATTATATTGGCTTACATACCTAATTAATTCAGCAACATAAATGTGTATGCATGTATGGACTGTGGTGGTTTCCTTTCAGAATTCCTGATTTCACAGCATGGAATCATATAAGGGGTGGAGCCCGGGTACTCCAGTAAGGGTCTGGGGGCATCACTAGTCCAAATGACAATCAATTTTTATGATTGACTACGTAAAGTATACTCATTTATAATTTACTACATATTGAATGTATTCAATAAAATATTTCCATTTGTATTTATTGATTTATTGTGCTGAACAACAATCCATAGGATTGATTTGTCTTTTCCCGAAACAGCATGTATTTAATTTTTACAACTGTTCAATATTTAAATATGAATACTGTAATATTAAGTTGACATTATTACAGACAATTACAAGTATGTGTAAGAGGACTGAAATTTCGACACAGTTCCTTACAATTCTTAGGATTTTAAAAGTTGTGATGATTATCACTAAGAATAGATGGCAATGATTGAATGTGTAACGAAAGCAATATTAGTTTCCGTTGATTTTAATATAAGGATTCAATATTTGATATTGAAGGGTAATATCATAATATTTGATATTGAAGGGTAGTGTCATAAATTAGGATGAAATATTCAAGACAATAATCGCCACCCAAGTCATAAATTCATTACATTATAATATCCCAGAACAATAGGTGGTATATTTATCCAGGTTGATTGGTTCTTTACCATCATATAGAGTTGGTGCCTGTAAGATTATACCAAAAGTACCAACAACACAAGCAGTTGTGAAAATCCACAGAAATACTCTGTCTAAAACCATAGCAACATATTTCCAATCTTCAATGATCTGGAATGATAGAATGTGAATATGAAATAAACATATAATAAGCATTACTACAAATTGTGTAATCGCAGATACGATCTTCAACCGCAAAAGAAGTTGAAACGTCACTAATTGCCCATTTAAAGACTATAATTCGTTATAGACAAAGTTTTCCTTGAAATATGTATGTTCAATATATATACAGTAAAGCAATTGATATTCTTTATTTAGTGCATAATTAGATCTAGTCTAAAGGTTAGTGTATCATTGGAAACGGACCCAGCGGAAGGCTGTCTGTCAATTACGTTATATCAGCTGGACCAATTATGCTTATGTTTTTAATATAAATGTGCATGAAATGAGATGCAATCAATCCAAAATGTTCATTTCTAGATGAACGTATGGTAAAAGCTCATTTTCATGACTTGGCTTTCGGGTAGGACTCTTGTGGAAGGAACGCCAAGAACTCGAAAAACTATACCTTGTTTGTGAAACACAGCAGTCGCCCTTGACTACTTGTCTACACTGTTGCAATTTTGAACCAAGGTCTTTTAATTTAGTTAAATGGAAGGCGAACTATATTCCTCACATGGACGTGACAGTTTATCAGTATGATCCATGATATTATATATATCAGAATTAAGAGAACATGAATACCACCACACATGTAAATGTGAAGAATGGAACTATCAAAACCTATCACAAAAGATGTATTGTTATCAAGTTCATTTGGCGGACACTTGTCAAAAAATTATATCCGAATCAAAGCATGATGAACAATATGACGACCGGTCTGCCATCAATATATCTTATTTAGTAGACACCGATGCCAAATATCAATCTCAATACTTACAGCAGAAGTCTTATCCTCATTCTTCAAGTGTTCAGCTATAAACGTCACTGATTCAATGGCGTCTACAACCTCCGCTGTATAGTATTTATTTCTAAATAAAGCATTGGCAGCAGTTTCTTCACTGCTTGGTAATAGTTCTTGTTCATGCATGGAACGTCTGAAACCTGCTGATTGGGTGTGTTGATAGCCCGACTCTGGTCGATTATCTCGAAATTCCATTCCATTACAAGTCCTTATCATGGCTTTCTGTGGCTTCTCGGGTTCTAGATGTGGTCGACGCATTACCAAGAGTTTAGGTAAAATTGTTAAGAAAACCCTTCTCACCCAAGGGGACATTACATGTGTTGAAGGTGACCGAAAATGAACATTTAAAACAACTACAGTCACTATAATAGAGAGTGTCACAAGTATCATAGTAAATAAGAGATATTTGCCTACCAAAGGCACCACTATAGACGTGGGAGGAATAATCTCCGCTAAAAGGAGAAAGAACACAGTCAATGACAAAAGGATGGATATACATAATGTCACTTTTTCACCAGAGTCGGACGGTAAATAAAATACCAAAACAGTCAAGAATGATATTGCTACACATGGTATTATAAGATTAACGGTATAGAATAATGTTTTGCGTCTCATTTCAATGAAGAATGTTATATCAGGATAAGGCTCTGGACAACAAAGATATTTGCGCACATTTTTCTGAGCATAAACTTGTAACAAATCCCATTCTACACTAGGGTAGAAGTCTCGTATGTCGATACCAGGTTTTATTGGTACTTCCGGTTCCGCCATCTCATCACATAAATGAACGAGGTCCACTTGGTAGCCATCGTATGTCCATGAACCAAATTTCATGGAACATGTCTGCACATCAAAGGGAAAGAACTCAACATTGATCGTACACGAGCTTTTATAGATGGCCGGAGGTTCCCAGACAACCTTTCCAGTTGGATGTAAGGTAACTTTTGTCATCAGGGTGACTTCGTAATTTCCGTCGGCACTGGAAAACATTGGTAAAAGTTAAATTAATCTTATGCTGATTTTCAATGATATCAAAAATCATTATTTCTGTGAATCAGGAGTTGTTATTGAATTCAGCGAGATATGTCTTCCACTGAACAACTTAGTAGTTTTAAATCCTTGTAAATCGTTGTTAAATATGCAATGGGATAAACCATTTTAAATCAACATGTTTTCAGCCGACGTAACGTATATATGGTGGGAACGGGCATTGGGAGGTAGTGACCTGATTTTACAATATCCCGCCCTTTATCAAAATCAAGATAACAAGCGTGATACATGAGGTGTAAACATTTCAATATGGCGCTCTGGTCGACGGTAATACCTGCATCCTACACGTACGGAGTATCAGACAGAGAGAGAAATGTGGTTTAACGTCCACTCGACACAAACTAGGTTATTTAGGGGTCTTTAGCAGTGGGAGGGAACCAGAGGACCCGAAGAAAACCCACGAGGTTGGACAGGCGACCCTACTCCTTGTCACGTAGAACCGGGGAATCGAAACTCCGCCAGTTGACTCAATGACAGACGTATAATACAGCACGCACGTGTTAACCATTCGTCCATCCAATCCCCCAGTATCAGACAAGGCCTGCATATAACCGATGTGGTAAACGTTAAAGTCAGTATGTTATATTATGTAATCAAGCATTATATATTGGTAAAGCATATAAAATGATTCATATAACCAGATATATTATTACTGTCGGATTGAAGTCATCTAGGTGTGAAAGCGCCCAGTACTGATATTGGGATATAATATGGTTTCACCAAGCGTAACACATTATGATGTGGCGTATAACGAATATAGCCAAGTAGCTTGTTTCAAGAAGAATTGACTATTCTGTTTGCAATTTGATCGTTTTCGTCTCTTTGCCGTTTCCTTGGCGTTGGGAGTTGGCGGAGTTCGAAGTGGAAGACACCGAACCTTCGGCTGAACATCCCACAATGATTAAACTAAAATCCAGCACGCGTTAACTAATTGTCAGAGACAAAAATCATTTACCTAAACAATAATAAAAATGAAGGCCTGCCTTCTGAGCGTAATACAAAATTAACCAACGGTATAATGTCGACCAGATCAGGACGGTACGCCCCACCACCTCGCAAAATGTATATTTCTTATGGTCATAGGGTTAAGTAAGGTAATTCTTAACGAAATTTAAAAAAAAATGAAATGAAATGGGATTTAATGTCCTACTGGGCAGTGTGCTATTAGGAAAATTTTGCCCGGGCAGCGACACTATTACCTACTCTTATATCGAATTCCAACTGCCTAGGGATCTATTACCTGCATGTCAATGTATACACGGGACCTCGGTTTTTCGTCCCATCCGAACGACTAGGCAAATAGACAGCTGTCCTTGCCAGGTCCTCGTCCCATCCGAACGACTAGGCAAATAGACAGCTGTCCTTGCCAGGTCCTCCGTCCTGACAACCCGATGAACTTTTTTGGCCAATGCAGGGATCGAACACGCGACCTCCGGGCTAGCGAGCCAGCGTCTTACCCACTTAGCCACCGTGGTTCCAAATTAAAAAGACAAGCAAGGACTGAACAAATGTTTTAAAATAGGTCTTCTTATAGTGTTTCTATTTACGTGGGACAAACATTATACCGCATCAAGTCAACTATATTTCATTATCGGAAGTTGATTATGATTCTCAATCTTATCCACTTCGGTCTAGGGTCTAATCATCCATATAATACACTAGATCCAATCAAAAATCCTAACCAGAAAAATATTCGGGCTTTCATGGTGTTCTTATGTAGGATATTAAACGGCTTCGCGGATAGTTACATATATATATTATTTATGACATTTTGACGTTAACAGTGCTCTGTTTAAATAACTCACTTGTTATACAAGACTACATCCGGACTCCAAAGATCATCCACCGGCACTTCAAGTTGTCCGACACCGCCGTATTCATACGGGTCCCACTGAAGACTTATGTCATGCCATTCCTTTGCAAAAAGAAGCCCAAACGGCATTATGGCTGAAGTGCCTACTAAGGTTTGAAGTTCAAGTAGTAAAGGGCACTCCAGTGTTGATTAGTAAAGCGTTACAGAGATACCAACAAACCACGTGCGTTATATAAAAAAAGAAACCAAACCAAAGGGCTAAAAATACAAAAGACGGTTGGCAGAGTACAATGTCACATCATGAATATTCATATTCCGACACCAAAATTTAAAAGAATCCAATAAAGCTGGCCAAATAGCAACAAGGGAACAAATCGATCAATATGTTATCCACAGAGCGAAAATTGAAATCATTTGGCTCGGACGAAGCAATGATCTCCTTGTTATTGGACATTAACTATCAAATTAAAGAAATTAATTAATTTGCTATCGTCATACGTTAGGACACCGAATGACACTGTTCAAACCAACCTACTGTTGTTCACCCTAACTTACTTATTATAGAGAACTATGTCGGGTAGCCAGATTTCCCGGGATGGTACATACAACCTGTTGACGCCACCATATTCACTTGGAGACCAAACTAAAGTGTTATCATACCATTCCTAGTAGGAGGAGAATGAGGAGGAGAGCGTGGTAGAAATAAAAGCAAGCATAGGTGGTTAATACATGCAGATAAAATAGAAAAGAAAAAGAGTTAGTAATCAAGCCATAACCTCAAAAAATATATGAAAACATCATTCAAACAATTCAAATACTTATAACAACTGAAAACAAGGACAGTGCCAATGTTGTTTATATACAAATATACAAGCTGTTCAAGTATTGATAATAACTATATGAAGATGCAATACAACATAATACTTGTACTGCATCCTTTCATATTACATGAAGGACTTTCATTAAAGATGCATTACCTAAGAGCTAAATCTGCCCACTGCAGGTCTTCATTTGGGCTTCACATGTTATAAAAATTATAACTTACGTGACAAGCCTATAATCAGCTCTCTAGGCTATTGGATGGACGTGATTTATACGGATTAAAATAAGCGCAAGATTTAAAAAAAAATTAACTATAAAATGGATAATCGAGACTTAGTCTCGAATGGCAAGTACCGTTGCTAGTCTTGAATGTCAAGTACCGTTGCTAAACAATCTATGCTACATCCTCAAACAGTCATAATTTCGCTCAAAATAAAGTAATTTAAATGCAATTTTCACTATATTCATTTTTCATTATCTATTTTTAAACTAATATAGCAAGAACTGCCAAATTTTATTTAAATCTTACATAATGCATCTTTAATTAATCCATAACATATTACTAATTAAATGAACCATCCCAGGCAATGTGGCACTGTCCTCTATTAAAGAAAGTAGTCATCTCGACCATAAAAAAAAGCACACTTCATATAATGTGAATGTGGACAAGGTGTTCAGACCTTCATGTATAATAATGTTTTCAATTTTTTTTTCACATACAAAACATGCAATATCTCTCATAATCACAATACATATATATACCCTTGGTTATAAAATCCGAAGTTAATAGCTCTGATTTGTTTCAGATAATATCTTTTATCATGGGTGTCACAACTTGACATTTATCTAATCATCTTGATCGCCGGATACGATTTTAGAACATTTTTCAGATCTTGTTATATATGTACGGTTTAAGGTGTTTCTGAACTTAACAATTAGGGCCAAAAATCATCCCAACTTGCCGATATTTTTAGATCTTGTTATATCATTTATACGGTTTATAACACCGCAAAAATCCAAGATGGGGACATTTAAAATGGCGGCTAAATTCTCCCAATTGTATATGTAATATTTGGTTCTGGGAGATATTTCGTAGTTTAAATGTAAAATCAAATCAAATTAAATGTTAACAGCCATGTTTATATATAAAATATAAATAACCGGCTAGGGTTACAAAATAAAATTACATAAAATATAAACAGCATAATATTATAAAATACATTTGATATATTCCATTAATAAATGTACTTATGAAACAGAAAATATATTATTAACCCAAATTTCATTGTTATTAAAAGAATCTTCTGATTTCACCAAGTTTTAAATTTAGGTGATGGTACCAGAAACAGGTACACAGTGTTCGCATTTTGAACTCATCGTGAGCTGAATGTACCCTCATTACATGCCTCACTTCGTCAATGTTATAACCTAAATAACTTATTTTCGGCAGCAGCGGCCATTGTTCGATTCCTGACAGGTTAACTGATTTCATGAATGTAGTTTTACCAAGGAGATTAATGTTTAATCAACCGTGGCCTACTACAGACGACAGGCAATCTCATCTCGAGGCTCCTTCAGGATAGCTACCAGTACTAATCTCAAAATTCACAGGCCAAATATCCGTTTATTCTTTTACTGTCAAAGCAGATTCTAAAAATTGTGCCACAAGGCAGTAATAAATTCACTAGTGTGACAGTCAGTTCCCAATCAATTGTAGCGCAAGTAATCGGAGCCAATGCTACCATATTTACGTGCTGGAAGCCATATCGTATATTGATAAGGTGATGTTTGGCATGAAAAAAAAATATTGCATTTACGACAGGATTCAATATCAGACATCTCATGTTATAGGGAAGGAAATATTGAACCCTTGCTATCAGACATCTTCACGATAACATAATGTTAATGACTGATCTGAAGTTTTGATAATATCGTTTGATAGTTTTCATGTAACAAGAGCAAAGACTAACAACACAAATCAATCACATGACCAGATCAACTATCTGAAAATCGAGGAAAGATTTTCTACAACTTGCAGAATGGTGCCAAAACCCCGCCAATATAAAGCTTCGGTATAGATTTAAAATGGCCTCCAAACACTAAAAGAACCACGGGTTTTATGTCAGTTATAGAAAATCGAGAAACACGACTTGGGGTGTATTTTCATAAGCAACAAAATGATATTGATAAAGTTAAATAATTTTCTGTAGAATGGATAAATAATTCATGAAAAGACATCAGAACAGTGTTAAGCAAACAAACCCAAAAGCTTTTACATCACCAAAGACGAGAAATTTGAAAAGACTGATTTTTTGGGTCATGTGTTTTTATGAAAAACGGATCGTTTGACATTATAATGCACTCGAAGTTTATTAGATCTTTGAAAAAAGTTTGAGAGCTTGTTTAAATGAACTTCGTAATTAGATATAATGGCAAATGGAATGTAAATATACGACTATGAAGTAATCTATTAAATCGCGAAGAGAAAAACAAGATTGAAATCAGGATGGTATTGAGTGGAACATTTGTGCTGAAGTTATGTTGTTAATCAAATAAAATACTAATTAACTTATAGACAAACTAGTAGTCTGATGAATAGAAAACTGTTTTTAATTGCTATACCAAATCGAAAAATGTGCACCTGCTTGTGGATTTATGTATTTGATTTGATTTGATTTGATTTGATTTGGTTTGATTCGGTTGATTTTGATTTGTAAATATATTTAGTAAAATGTCGTAGTTTTGGTTTTGTCCGATAAAAGTAGAAATCTTAAAAAGAAATAAACAAAAAATCCGTATGTGTACTGAATTAAATGATATAGATTTTAAACTCGGACAAGCTTTATGCTTTAAAGCTCATCGGGTTTAATTCTTTATATTTTGTCAGATCGAATTAAGCTCATCGGGTTTAATTCTTTATATTTTGTCAGATCGAATTAACGTACTTGCTTCTTTATTTACAACAGCGACGTTTTCAAAGAACTGAAATTTTAAACCTCCAAATTAAATTGCTACCCTGTTCGCACATGGTATTTATCTTGTCCAACGGCTTCCAGACCAACGTTATCCAAATAAAAAATACTAATAAGTAAACTGCTCCTTTATTAAACAGGCATTATGCAAGATCTAAATTTGCCTATTGCAGGTCTTTCTTTATGCGTCAAATGTTATATAAATTATTAATTAGACATTAATTAACTTGCCAAGATCATAACCAACTTTCGATGCCACCGGACACTCTATATTGTAAACAGATTCTGTTACTGTAAAGGCGATAAATTGGCTCAGAGCGAGTAATTTGACTGAAATTTTCACCATATTCTCTTTTCATTATCAATTTTGATCTATTATAGCGAAAGCTGCCAGCCCTTTATCTAATCTTACATAATGCCCCTTTAAGCAAATTATTTACAACTACGACATTTTCAAAAGACGTCCTAGATTTAATTGGTATCATAAATACTACACAAAGTTACCGGTAACCCCTCACACTTATCGATGAAACTCATTTTCTATAAAACATAAACCCATTCTAAGATGTTATTTATCTGGTGTGAAGACTCCCTGACAAACGTGATGACGAGAAACGCGTTAATTAGACGATGACTGGTAGCTATCTTGGAAGAGTTGTGTTCCTGTTTTCACCTGTGATTACTGTACAGAAAAACTCACCTGTCTCAGCCATACATTAGTTGTCATCACCTGATCCTTCTCGTGCTGAAAAACATAGATTTTTATATAAGATATTTCTTTGCTTAATGTTTTGAATCTAACGGGTTTGTTCATGTGCATCAAATAGTAACAAATGTATTTGTGCATGTGTATGAAATAGTAACAAATGTATTTGTGCATATGTATCAAATAGTAACAAGTGTATTTGTTCATGTGTATCAAATAGTAAAGCACACAACAATTTGTTTATGCAAACCAGTCGGTGCCGACAAGTTGGACGTTACACCCCATTTCATTTCAGTGTTTAAGTAAACGAAAACTCTACTCACAAATTTCAGTTTTAGTAAATACCCTTCCCATCCCCGAAATAAAAAAAATATATCCGCCTCCTACAATTTCCCAAGATATTACAGATCCTGATCACATATTACTTTAAGAAACACGGGTACTATATAGATCTATTTAGCTTACACATGCGTAACTTACAGGGCCAATCTCGTTTATATTTTGGAGAATAGAAGCGCTTAATTTTGTTTTAAAAGCCCTTAAAATCATCTACCTTAGGGCGAAGAACCAAATCAATATACGTGATACGTGTCTCAAGCTGTATTATACGGTGTCTGGAAAAAACAGACTTTTATCTTATAAAAATAACGTGTAGGTGAAATTTGCCTTTCGCTGTCAAGTACAGCACGTTGGTCATGCACTGTATATGTCTCTAAAGGAACGTCAATAGATTACCAGGTCACCCTACGAAAAAACTGGCCCGAAAACTTTAAAGGATTACGTGTCCGGATAAGCGGTTTTGGCATCACGTCCAAACGACTCAATATTTTGAGCTGAAATTTTGAGACAAGATAAATATACCATTCCTCTATAGTTTGGCGCTTAAAATTCTAACGTACATAGACTTTTATTTCTGACACTCTGTTAAAATCGGGATGGGCCCTTTAAAGTTTGTATTCTATGCTTTCGACTATTGCTTATCAGATACGTCAGTGGTATGGATTGTGGCGACTGTCCGTGTTAATTGAGATGACTGCATTAAGGGCAATGCCATGGTGAATCATATTTTAAAAAACAAAACAAAAAAAAAACCCCAAAAAACAAAAAAAAACCACTAGAACGAGCAGAACTAAAATTGGAAGATATTATCATTTAATGAAAAGACAAGGATGTGATTGATACAGGAAGTTCTTCTTTGGGTTTATCTAACTGATTGCGATTCTTCAGAAAGCTATGTCAAAAATGTAGACAAGATCGAAATTACAAAAACAACACATATATTTCTTCATGACCAGCTAATTACTTTAAGCTGTCCATCCGACATGTCCTTACACTTTGCATGACTTTTAGGGGTCATGACTCGAAATATTGCCAACTGCTACTACTGTTACTTTTAGGATCATAGTCAAAATGTTTCCTACTATTACTTATAAGGTCATAGTCAAGATATTTCCTATGGATACTTTTAGGGTCATAGTCAAAATATTTCATACTGTTACTTTTAGGGCCATAGTCAAAATATATTTCTACTATTGCTTTTAGGGTCATAGTCGAAATAGTCCAAATATTCCCCACTGTTGCTTAACAACCTAAAATTAAGAGCGTCTGTTTTTTTATAAAATAAAAAATGGAGGATGTGAAGTTTGCGGAATTTAATTTGCATAATGTTGAAAATAATATTTTAATGGGTAATACATGTCGGTATAATATTTGAATACATATACTAGGATTTACTGGAATGAAAAGTACTGTGGTTCAGTCAGCCCCACTTCTACTTTTTGCAGTCAAATACTTACAAAATTATATGTATCTCAAATACGAAACTTATTTATCGTAACACAAAAACACTTTTACTGATAGACAATTATTGAGTTTAATACTAAATAATTGTGTATCCATAAAATTGTACCTTGTGTTAATATGTTCAGTTACTAAATGCCAATCAAAGAAGTTACTTCAACAGAAAATCATTCATACTTACATTAACTCAAAAATGGTGACAATTACTATTGCTATTATGTAATTTTAAATGAGCTAAATCGCTAATATTTGCGACCTAGAAAGTGACACAAATGGGTTGCGACGCATATAATAATGTAATATGATTGTATATAAACTGATTTACATTCAATCGTTTCCGTTTTTACTCTAATTTCAAATCAGTTATGTTCGGCGAAATACGTCAGAAGTCTCAACAATTAAATGGCAATCTCTAGCATCTGGTTATTCCAGTCTACACCGATAGTATTTATTGCGCATGCTCTCCAGATACGAATATGGCTTCACCGTTTGACATGACTTGTGAAATTTGTAATTGTTAGTTGATGGTGTGTGTAGTTATTTCAAAGTTGTAAATACACATTGCATGTTTAATCAGAAAACCGACGAATTTACCCAAAATAAACTTTATTGTGTAGATTGATTGACTTAAAGTGAGAATCGACTTTATATATCTGATGGCAGCCGGTCACATCTGTGATCGGTTTTATACGAGTATAATTATCATGGGACGAGATGACATTTCATTTCGTAGCACATGTGTTAGCAAATATTCGTCTATCATGTAGCTTCACCAATTTGACAGTGTTACATATTGACATGTAAGATAATTCGCCCAACAATTTGACAGTGTTACACATTGACGTGTGGGATAATTCGCTCAACAACTGTTCAATTTAACACGCTTTCGTCGTGATTCTCAACACCAGATTTGCCCTCGTTAAACGTCATCACGGGTTTGATACGGAAACTTGACAATGTTAATCGATAATTGTTGGATAGATTTTGAAAAATTTATGTTGATCTACTTAATTTCATCGCCCCAAATATATCAAAGGAACTTATTTAAAAGTGAGGCGATACAGAAAGAATATGGCAATCAACATTGACAAATTATCCTCAAGAGCTAATACTAGAGTCCATACTACAGGACGAGTAGATCCACGCAAACTGTAAATAAATAGATGGACGAAATAAGGAGAGGCGTTGAGTGGACATATTTCATCAAGTGGACCCGAATTCTGTGTAAAAGAAGTGACTTTAAGAAAGAAGAAAAGGAAAAATAAAATGGGTTTATTGATTGTTATAGTGGCTGATTGGATGAATAACGAGACTTATGCTGTTTTATCAATACCTAGCGACATCTGGGTTGAAGAACGGAATCTAATTTACATGATATCAACAGATACCGCCAGTTCGTTTTACATCAACTGACTCTATTCTACGTCACTACAGTATTTCCTAGTATTTACATCAACAGTATTTATTTATATCCTCAAACTATTTCAAATATCACATAAATTGACATAAATTTATATCAACGGACTTTATTTTACTGTGGGATACATACACTATATACCTTTATTTATGTACCTCAAATCATTCTATTTTACATGGCGATTACAGTATTTATATACATCAAATGACTGTATACAACAACTGGCTATATTTTAATGCAGTATACCACTTTATTTTAATACTGTATACCGCTTTATCTTAATGAAGTATAGGGTCTATCCTTTATTTTAATGCAGTATACCACTTTATTTTAATACAGTATACCGCTTTATCTTAATGAAGTATAGGGTTTATCCTTTATTTTAATGCAGTATACCACTTTATTTTAATACAGTATACCGCTTTATCTTAATGAAGTATAGGGTCTATCCTTTATTTTAATACAGTATACCGCTTTATTATAATACAGTATACCGCTTTATCTTAATGAAGTATAGGGTCTATAACTTTATTATAATACAGTATACCCCTTTATTTTAATGAAGTATATGGTATATAACTTTATTTTAATTCGGTATACACAAGTAAAACATAAACTGTTAGTGATTTGTTTTGCGGAATATGTATCTGTCTACATTTAAAAGCAAAAAAACCACTGGCGGATCCAATGTCCCACAGTCGACAGCTTAAGCCGAAAACGATTCTAAAATGGGCAACCGAAATATGAAATCAGTTCAACATGTTCCATCATTTTAGTTGACCTAAATCACAGATATTTAGCTTCAAGTGATATTCAAAGTATTCATTTACATCAAATGGCTTTATTTCATGGTTAATAAGAATACTATGAAGACATGTTAACATACAAAAGATGGATGAAAAATCAATTAAGTCAATTAACAGAAAGGTTTAACTTAGTAAGAGAGGAACTCACAATGTAGTATCATGGTCCGTCTGAGGTGGTATTATAAGAAAGTTCCAACTTCTTCAGATGATCGGTAAGAAAGTTAAGAGGTAGTTGAGACATTAGAAGATAATGGCGGCTAGATGAAAACTATTACATGCATGGATCATTGGGATATATCTAATATGTCTTTCTTGTCAACAGAATCCGTTAGTGCCGTGTCTGAAGTTTTCATAGTTTTAAACGGCTTTGTTAAGAGAGAGAGAGGTTGGACAGGCGATCCTACTTCTTGTCATGTACAACCGGGGAATCGAAACCACGCCAGTTGACTCAATGACAGACCTTATGATACAGCGCACACGCACTAATCATTCGGCCATTCAACCCCCCTGTTTTGATAAGAATACGACAACACTATAGGTCATTTCGGGACTAACAAATTTATTTCAATAATTCGCTTGCGGGTAGGGGTATCTAGCATTGGGAGGAAACCGAAGGACCCAGAGAAAAACCATGAGGTTAGACAGGCGATACTACTCCCGGAGAATCGAAACCAAGCCGCTTGACTCGATGACAGATCTTTTGATTTCACGCACACGCGTTAAACCACTATACCACCCACCCACCCGTAATATATCATTAGCATACGTTTAAACCATGTTTTCTTTCGATATGTATTACGCGATTTGGGGATGATCTAATCCTAAACCACACCTGGCGTGGGAAGTGGTATCCGGTGTTCTAAAACATATTTCAGAAGATGGTAGCCATCAATTTAATCTAATACTAATGTACATAGGAACGCCTCATATGAGATGTGGTATCAGATGGCCTAAACGATCGTACATATCCGTTTAAATTTCAGAGTGTTTTAGAAGGTTGGATAGTTTTAAATGTG